AATTACAGTAAGTAAACATTAATAACAGTAGAACATAGTGCAGGCTAGTATGCTTGCTTTTTACCTAACTACAGAACTTAACTAAAACTCCAAACCCTCAGTATTCTAATCATTAACAAAAGCTTTACTCTGCTGATATCATGACCTAAATTTGCAAATAGGAGACATAATGCTCCTGTTTGCTGTGCAGATTCGGTCCCTTACTGTTGAGGGCAGCTGGTAACCGGTGGGATGGACGGGATTGAGATGTTTGGCCAAGATGGAGTGATGGATGGCAGAAAACAACGAAAGAGTGGAGAGAGTAGTCTTTTGGCTGACAGGCCCGAAGCAATGAGCAATGCAAGGCCTGAGCCACTATGATCAGAGAGCATGCAGATGATAAGTCTATAAATAGAAACATGCAGCAGGAGGGACAAAGGCTATTTCCTTTCAAATGATGCAAAAGGATGATTGAATGTTTGTACTGTAATGAGCAATTTAGGACGTGACTTGTTGTCATTGCATTTTATATGATATAAACATGAGCATGGTGACTATTTTATATTTGAAATAAATATCACAAGGTTAGATTGGTAATCACATGGCACCAGTCAGGCTTATGAGGTGAGTTGTAGCACATAAATCCATATAAAAAGTAATAATTCCTGCATGCAACACACAATACATGGCAACTGATGTTTAGTGTTGGCAATGACTGGGCTTCTTCATGGCTGTGAAAATGCTCCTGGTGATCAAAGAGATTTTGTCAATGAATTCTGGGTTTGCAGACAAAGATTTGCACACGGTTCCGTGACAGTGGTTCAGTTTCCATTTCGAAGTGTATTGTAAATGCAATACAGGCCCAAATCCAAAACATCCAAGTAGATTAACATGCATTTTACAAAACCAGATGTTATTTTGCGAGTCTTTTACATTCTGAGAGAACAGAAGGTCCTGAGCTTTTCCTTCGTGTCTGCTTAATCAGCATTCATTAACCACACTAACCTCTTTTTATAAAGACACTTGGCTGAAGTTATCACTCTAACTGAGATGACTGTCAAACCGTGTCACTGAATAATTAAGGCAAACGCAGCAACAGCCAAAAGCCATATCTTTCTGATGAAGTCCACTTGAGTGAGAGAGGAAACAGGACTTCTTAAAACTATGCAGGCTGAATAAATGCCAAAAACCTCAGAAATGAATAACATGCGCGAGATGATGAATGCTAACTTACATAAAGAGGTCGAGGTCAAGTCTCTCATGGGCGTTTGCTCGATTGCATTGACCTCAAGCGAGGTCAGATGAATGCCCGCACAACAAAACCTGAAGAGACAAACACCCCGTGTGACTCCATAAACCTGTGACCCCCTGCAATCTGAAATAAGCTATGTACAAAGTTCAGTGGCAGAGTGAATCAACAAAACTGCCTATGTGGGCATATGATAAGAAGTGTACAAGTTGCATAACGTTTCTTTAATTACCACAGAAAACAGTCATGAGGTGTAGTCCAAACACTCCATCAGGCCTGACCAGAGAAAATTGCTTAGTTGCACTGTATGTGCAGCTATTCTCAGTATGACTGTACACTGGCTGCACTGTTTCGGAAAAAGATGTACTGTGGCTAATTTGGTCTCTTGTTTACTGTGTCTTCATATCACCACGAAGAACACACATAGCAAGCGATATTCTCCTGTGAAAAGCGATCAAACCTCCTCATAAATAAATCATCACATTCAATGAAGCTTAAGGAGTGACACCAAAAAAAAAAAAAGCAAAAAAATATCTCCCCTATGATGCGTGTAGAGTGAATTAAAATTGCACAGGAGGAGAGATCATTAATCATCTTACTGGCAAGCAGCCCTGCCTCATAAGTGGGTATTAAAAGGACAAACAAAAGATAACATGGGAACCATCCACTCAATCCTGATCTGCATCACAGCAACAATGGATTTGTAAATTACAAAAATAAAAAGTGATACGAACACCAAACAGGTGTTACCACCTCATTCAGATGACACTGAAATTAAGTCATGCAAAACGAAGGCAGGCGAAACACAGGAAATAAAAGCTCTACGTGCTTTTATATACAGTTTCATTTGCAGCTGAGTGTGGTTTCTGCATGGCTTCAGCTGGGTGGACCAAATACGATCACAGTTTCTGTAAATGTTAAATCAATCACCTGCATCCTGAATGTCTCATGCAGTTATTTAGCATTTTAACATTTACACTTAGTTGCCAGTTTATTAGGTACATCTAGATGAATGTATCCTATATTTTTTGGCACTCATAATGTTGTGTTTTAAGAGGTACTTAATCAATGCTGATTTATTATGTTGTCTGAAGAGTGAGATGTTTTTATCCAACTAATTTATACCAATAAGGGCAGACAAAATATTAGAAACACCCCTGAGTGTACTGCATTCTTTTTAGCTTGATGTGAATAAACGACAAGAGCATTCACATCAGTCTTTTTGAAATAAATTGTAAACGAACGGGTGAGGTAATTTTTTTAGTACACCAATATATTCCCATTTGTGTTTGAGTTGCTGCCAGTGACACTCACACTGTACACAGCTTTACTTTGTTTTTAATTTGCACATTTATTCACATGCACAAAAGCTGACAGCAACAGACTTAACCAGCAATTTGTGTCGTCTGAAATCTTGCAATCTATGATAAACTGTCTGCAGTGCAGGCCCCATGAGGATCCTGCGTGACAACTACAACAAAAACAACGTTTGTGGCTCCGGTCCTCAAGGGCCTTTTCCCTCATCATACACGCTAAAAAAGTTACTTCCCCCATCATAATGCCTTTGTGATTTCTTCAGAGTGTTCTCCAACAATCTGAGGCACAAACATCTGGCTGCAAGCGATATAAACTGCCTGCCATGCAGAGCAACCCACTTTTATACTCGGCAGGAACTCCTGCTGAGATATTCATAAGTCTTCCACTGCTCTTGCAAAGTGACACTGTGCTCATGCCCACAGTTCAGCTGCAAGACTTTTACACAGTGTGAAAACTGAGCAGCAACATTAGGATTCAATCTGCTGGGATCTGCCATCTGAAATGAAGCCCTAAAGCTGGACCTGGAGCCAGAAGTAGTCTGTCATGAATGGGACATTTGACTTGACTCCACCAAATCAGACTTGTGAATTCACTTGGAGTGCCTCGCATCCCTCCAAACCCAAACCCATAAACCAAAAATATCATATTCTGATGATTAAGTTGTCGGTTGTCATTTCCCGAACAATAGAAAGGTCTGTTTTTTTTTGTTTGTTTGTTTTTGTTTTGGCATCGTAAACAAGCAGACAGACAACAGATAATCATAATCGGATGTAAAAAGTCTGCTGTGGTCAACAAAAAAACAGACAGCAATGTGCATTTCACTCAAAAATTAGACCTGTATCAAAACTGTGTTAAGAGCAGGAATGCTTAATTTGCTTTGTCCTTGGAGACACTTTTGCAAACTGACAGAAGGCCAGGGGCCAGTCGCAACAGCCCCTTACAGGTCAGGTGTACGCAGGGGTGGTTCTAGTCAACAGATCTTTTTTATTTATTTGTTTTTTAATAATTTACATTCAAAGTAAAAAAAAAATCCTGTGTGAATTTATTTCACAAGTTTATAGAATGTCAGAAAATAGTGAGAGAAGGCCATCACAATACTCCTGAGCCAAAGTTGACATATTTAAATTGCTTTGTTGGAGCAATATATATGTTTGGAGGCTAGAACCAGAAAATGTTTGACATTTTTACCTTTAAAATAGTTGATTAACTTTCTGCCAATCAACTGGTTAATCACCTGAGTGTTGCAGATCTAACTGTGTCACAGGCACGGATGGATTACTGAACAGGCGTGCGGGGCACAAACCCAAGGGCTCAAAGGGTCAGAGGCCCCCCTGGCCTTCACCTGCAAAATGCCTCCCACATTAACACATAGCAGCAAGGAAGAGACTCAAAATGACCACAAATAGATGCAAATAGGATGCACAAAATAACTACAAAAAGGGGAAAGCAACTACAAAGAGACACAAAATCACCACAGAGTCTTAATGTCTTGCCACCATGTATTGTAGTAGAGGTGGGGCATTTTGTAAATCTGTGCCCAGGGGCCCACTGTCTCATAATCCACCCATGGTAACAGGAATAATATTAATCTAACATCTAAACCTTTGCTTCTAGACGATATAAAGTTTATTTTGGAGTAACAAATAAGATTTTTTTTTCTAAAGCACCCACTACTTCTGCAAATTTTATATTTGGTCTGAACAAGAGCTTACATTTAATAAAGGGTGCATACTGAGTTAAGGGCTTGGACTTAAGTTCAGAGACATATTTGTAACTTGCAGAACAATGACCTACTTTTTCCATCCAAACTGCTTTTTTTAAGACAGTGCTCAGACTTTACAAGAAAAATGTGCATTTAACTTTTATATTAGTGTATTTTTCTTAAAAACATGCATGAAACACTGCAGCTCACCTTATAGCTAAAGGACTCACAAACCAATTCGGTTTCTGCAACCTCATACAGGACTTTCATAATGACTAAGCTGGACAGGAAATGAGCACAACACACAAACCCTGCGAGTAATTCTGCTATGTCACACGCTCTTAAAGGAAATAGCTGATGTGTGTGAAAGAGCCTTGTTGAGTGAACGGCCGTTGAATGTAGTTTACTTCACGGTCTAAATCCAAAAGCATACTTTTGAGAAGTTATCAAATTTGGCAACCAAAACAACAGCCCAAGTTCAAGTGTGACACACGCACAGAATTCGCATCAGCCAATCAGACGCCGCTCGTCTGTGTGTCAAGCCAATCAGCTGCGAAGGGGGCGGGTCGCTCAGGCTGTTGCTAGGGTATGTCCCTGATGACTTTAACGCGCTTGAGCCAATCAAATCGCAATCAATCGTTTCCAGCCTGCTCATTGGCTAAGACACACCGGCAGATCCCGCCTCCAGGCTTTTCTCATTGGCCAGCCGTGCAATCACTCCCTTCCTTGAGTTTTAGTTAGGTGCTGTTGATACTGTAGTTTGGAGTCACCAAGACTCAGAACTGAATATAGCAGCGCACGTACATCGCTCTGAAAACAATTTTTAAAATCTCCATTCCACAATTTCATGACTTGTACATTTGTGTAAATAGACAACTTCTATTTTTTATAACGAGACAACAGCGACATGGAACTTAATTCTCTTTTAATTCTGCTGGAGGCTGCAGAGTACTTGGAAAGAAGAGACAGAGGTATTTCAAGCTAAACTGACAAGTTGACAGGATTTCCAGGCTACTAATTATTTCATGAATGGAGCATTTGGGGCGACAGCTAGCTTCATTTTCTGTCATACGTAAAGTTTTAACGTGCCCTGCCATAGTGCAGGTATGATGTCACTTTACAGACAATGGGACGATGGGTGCAAACTGGACCCGGTAGCTTATATGCTAGAAAACATAGCTATGTTTTATATTTAAAGTACGTCATGTAGCCTTTTAATGAACTCTACACAGCTCGTGTTGTGTATACTGAGAGTACAGCTCGTATTAGCGCTTCGGAAATGAGTAAACAAGAGTGACATTGAGAATATGTGGCAGTATCATAATGACAGATGATAATAAATGGGCATGTAGCATTGCATGTTTACCATACAGACCTTGCTGGAGGCATACAGTTGATTTATTGGAAGCGATTACATTGATGATCGATCACGTTTTGTTCCTCTTTAAAATGACTTAGCCTCTATGGAGCTCTTTCATGTGTCACCATTTCCCTGAATGACTCACTGCAAGCCTTTTTTTTTAAATTGTATTCCTGCACAGACAACAATAAATTAACATTTTGCTTTGTTTCTCTCCATAGAGGCAGAGCACGGTTATGCGTCTGTTTTACCGTACAGTAGCGACTTCTCCAGAAAGAAAACGAAAGCCTCGCCAATTTCCAGAAAAACTCAGAACAATAGGTAAATATAAGTCTTGCTTTTTTATTTGTTTGTGCAAATGACAGCTTGCAGAAACACACACATGCACAGATAGACAGTGTTTTCATGCACACTGCCATGTCTCTGCTGCTGCTGCTGCCTGGGCTGGGCTCTCTGTTTTGGTCTCTCCAATAAACACTGCCACGCGTACACTGTCAACTCTGCTGCTCCCACTCTCTCTCTCTCTGTGTTTCACACACACCTAAAAACCCTCCCCATGCTGACACAAAACACACCCGACATGCACATAAAACTTTCGCTTCTGCACCCTGTCTCTCATGGCTATCATGCTTTCACATATGCCTCTTTTTTTAATGTGGTTAGTGTGTTTTGTACGTGTGTGTCTGATGTTAAATGAATGTCCTGTACCAAAAGGGGGTCCCATCGTGCCACTTTCTCACACCCCCGCACACACACAGTTCATGGAGCTGTCATTATTGCTGAGACTCTGTAGATCAATGCTTCTGATCAGAATGCATCGATTGCTTTTCATTGTCTCCTCGTGAAACTGTAATTAACACACGTTCATCACGAGTTTGACCTCTTTCACATGTCGTGACAGTCTGCAGCTGACATACACCCTGCTGTAAGGCTATAAAATTACAGAATAAGTCAATATATTTAAGTTTCAGTTTCACTTCTGTCTTGCTGTGTTGCTCTATTTAGACCAGTTGGACAGCTGGTTAAAAGCCATTTAAACCTCAGTGGGTTAATATTTAATTTCATTACTAAAATTAAAAGGCAGCTAACATGGCTATTATTTTAATTTTTGGCAGGGGTGCCCCAATTTTTTTTTCATACAGGTGGCGAGATGGGGCCACTAAAATTCTTGGGATGGCACACCAAAAGAAGAATTTTAGGAATTTGCTTATGTTGTTGAAGTATATAGGCTAGCTGTCAACTATATCAATAGTTAAGGAATTGCATACGGATCTTTTTTAGTTTCTAAGTGATGTGCACAGACTAATAAAATGCTCCAGGGATGATGCTCTATAGGCCAATGTGGAAGTTAACATCGCACCACTTCCCTCGCAAAAAGGCTGATGGGATTTTCCATTGGATTTTGGATTATTGCCAAAAATACGCTCTGTGGCAAACATTTGTGATACTTGAACAGTTTGTTCAGCAAGATAATCTTCACCAATGAACTCCATTTTCATGATTATTGAAGCGTAAATGCACCAGAAGTAAAAAGCTAATGTCAGGCAATAAAGGAACCACACCACTCTCGCATGACCTAACATCACCACCATAACAAGACTGTGAAGTCGTGTTTGGTGTGGCTCAGTGTGATGGCATTTGGTAGTCTCATTTAGCCACTTGTTTTCAGCTGCTTTTTTAAAATCACATAGAAGCTTCAAAGTTCACGAGTGAGGTATTTACTGACATATTTTATGTCATAAAACCAAAAGGTGAAAGCCTCTTGAGCTTGTGTTAACCACAGACCCTATTTCAGGCATCTAACCAAAAACCCATTGACTTTGAAACGAGGGAACTGTGAGTGGTAAAATGCTAACTCATTTCCTGGTGTTAGGACTCATTCCTGGGGCGCTCTGTACGGGTACAGTTAACATTTTGAGTTCCACAACAACCCTGTTTTAATGTATCTGGTTGTCCTTGTTTTTAAAAAGACAAATATACCGTTTTAATTTGAAGGAGTACATTGATTGTAAGAAACAGATTATTTTCTGGGAAAAAGCCTTTTCAAGTTTTGGGGAGATTTATGGGTATGTTTTTATTCCGATATCTTGAGGTGAGAGTTCAAGGGACCCCTTTGAAAAAGGCCATGCCAGTTGTTCCCTCACCAAAATTTAGCCAAACTTTGGAGCATTGTTTAGTCTGCTTCCCAACAAGCTATGCTAAAATGGTTGGCAGTGGCACCAATGTAAATGAGGTTGTCTGGTTTCACAAGATACCACGTTCGTTAGCTTAGAGTAGCATACCACAATAATATAATGATATTTTTTTAAATTCTAGTTTTGCCTATAAAATGTCACAGAATTTTGAAAAATATAATCAAAGTTTGCATCTTCAAATCCCGTGTTTTATCCAACCATCAATCCAAAACCCAGAGACTTTCAGGTTACTGTCATGTATGAGTTAATCCGTTATCAACAGTTGACACCTTATTTTCTTATGATAGTTAATCCTTTTCAGCTGTAGCTGCTAACATGGTTGACACACCATGTTCATCATGTTGGACTGAAAGAGGCCTTAAACTGTCTGGATCAATGTGGGACACGCCCTCATCAGGAGTCCCTTTCCTCTTGATTTATGACCCTAATTTGGGGACTTTTACATCCAAGGCTACATGCAATTTTTTTTCTGAGTTATTTAGCCAGGTGTGCAACAGTGGAGTCTTTCATCTGTTAACTACCTGTCATTTGTGGTAAATGGGTTTTTGGTGTAACTCTCCAAAGACATTCGTATGATGTTTCAGCTTTGTTCCCAAGAACACGAGCACATGAAGATCTGATGAAAAAACAAACTTTCCTTGCTGGCAAATATTAGTTTTGGAAGCACAGTGAGCCTGATTTCCTCTGTAGTGAGACTGAGAGTTACACAATGACACATACAGCATGTTAACATATCAGTATCGCCTTAGAATTCTTTACAAGGCGCGTGGGTTTGTAAATTTGAAAGTGATATTTGTATACATTTGTCACAAATGAGAATGCAGTCTGTTCCACATTCCTGTGACACAGCCTCTGACTAAGTAACACAATCATGTATCTGTGTGTGTGTGTGTGTGTGTGTGTGTGTGTGTGTGGATAAGGGTGTGTATGGGGATGTGGCAGGTGGGTGTGGTGGCCAAAACAGACACACACTGTGGCAAACCCCAGCCCACCAGGCTTCATGCACCAGACCTGCTTTTCCCTCCTTTTTACTTGGGACTGCACCGTGGGCAAATTCCCCAATTCCCTTTATACTCCCCTTCAGGATTTTTTTTAAGCATCAACAGGATGCACGGGGCAGTGAAGTAAAAACATGTTTCATGTTTGAACTTATTTTCAGTTTGACAGGAGCACAATGCTTTGCTTTGTACATCCAAAAACTGGCATTATGGCGTTTGATGTCATGACCAAATCTGCAAATTAAAACGGATCACATGTTTTGCAGCGGTGCAATAGTCAGGGCATGTGAAAAAAAATATAGTTGGGAGTCTATTTCTGAACACAGAAAAGAAGAAACCCTGGTGGAGTTTCCTTTTTTACTCGCAGACTGTTGTTAAATCAAAATGCTTCTAAAAAAAGAGGAAGACCTGGAATTATGGCTCGCTGTCACACTACAAATCAAATTAAAAATAAGAACAGTGCAAATTACTCCTTGAATTCCCTCCTGTTAACGTTGGAAAACATTCACAAGGTGCTCTGAGGATGAGCTTTGGCAATTTTACAACCCATTGAAAAGGTGATATGAGGCTAACATATTGGCCTTTGATCTTCAGGGCCAAGTTTAGGGCATCAGAGTCATTTGCATGCCACGCCATTCTTTTACATAACACGTAAAGGAGTGCTTGTTAACCTGCTGTTATTACAGGTCTGTATGCATTCCCTTCCTGTGCAAGCTACCGCCTGATTTCCTGGTCATGCCCTTTGCTTTGACTGGGACGTTTCCCCAATTTGTGCAGGTTTGAATAGCACAACTTCCTCCATGATGGAACGAAGCTCTTTGTCGGCCTTTTTGGATCAGGTTGTTAGCAGCGGTGCAACATCCTGTGCTCTTTGTTGGATGATTCTGTGCAGACGCCACATTATCGCAGTCGCACGGTCAACTGTAACCCCTTTTTTGGTGCAGCGAGCAGTGTCGCTGCACGGATGCCTCTGCCTCCTTCGGCACAGCTGTGGGAACCACTGCTTCACCAGCACAAGGGCTCTCAAACAGCGGAAAATCTGAAAAGGCTTGTTGTCAGTCTGGCCCTTTGTTGTTGCTGTTTTTGTTTTTATTGCCGTGGTATCCATGACGGCCCTCATGAACAGAGGGCCTGTTTCAGATGGACTGCAGTGCCCTCGCTGCTGCCCGGGCCGCGCATTACGATAGGGGGCTCTCCTCGGAATAGCCCACACGCTGAGGAATTCTGCAGCGTCTCGGCCTCCAGACGTCTGAGTGTGTTTTTATCCCATGTCCACGCTGCTTTTTCAGCCAGCGTGCAGCGGCGGCAACAACAACAGCAGTGTGTGCATGCTGTTTGTATGCATGTGAGAGTGGGCAGGGAGGAGTCTCTCTGTCTCTGTCTCTCTGTCGCTCTCTCAGGCTCAGGGTCATTTTTGCCCTCTGCTACACAATCTCTGACAGATGTCACACAGATATGGAAAAAGATTTTAAAAAACAGAGACTCCATCTCGTCATGGATGTCTGTTACCAGTGTGGGATCAAGCCTCAGGAATACTTCACCCACAATATGATCATTTATATGTCAGTTACACACCGTGCGTTACACTGAATTTGTGAGGGAAATTTTGCTTTTCTTTGTAATTGTGAACAAAGAATAAAGAAAAATGGGGCCAGTGAGAGAAACACTACTTTGCATATTCAGTGGGCTGCATACCCCATAAGTAAACCCAGAGGCTTTTGGCATATGTGCCAGGCGAATAGGAGCCATCTTAGAGACAAGCTTCTTGTTATTATACATCAATGGCTTTAAATGATAAGCTTTTAGTGGAAATGCATGTGTTTGGGAAGTACTGAGCAAACAAGACTTGGATCATACTGCAGGAGCTGTATGAGACTTTTTAAATGGATGTTTTGGTATAGTTTTGCTGTTGTTAAATGTGGCCCCCTTTCACTTCACTTCATCAAGAATTTTTCTCTTGTTTGAATTCTTCGTTCACCGTGGAGGGATGAGAGAAAACCAAAGTTTTCTGTATAAATTCAGTGTAAAACGGAGTAAGTAATTGATACACAAACGATCATTTTGTAGGTGAAGTATCCCTTTAAGGCCTCTTTTGGCGTATTAAAATATTCTATGTCTTAGGTAAAACTTTATTGTAAAGCAACTCCAGCAGTCAAAAGCCCTAAAGCCTCCTGGAGGCAGAAAAAAGGCAAAAGCAGAGAAAAATCGGCACTCCTCTTTGATGTCTTGACACATTTTTCCTCTGAATGTTCCTCAGATCTGCTGTTACTCTGCACTTTATTCCAAACTTTCCTCGCTTTCATCTGTCTTATATTGAGATAAAAAAACATTTGCTAACCGAGCTTCTCACCTCAGGATTATTCATTACACTGCACCCTAACTCATGTCGTGTGATTGGAAGTATTTTGACAGTATTTTAATACTCGCTGCCCTGACACTCCTCCTGCTTTGTCCTTTCAGATCATCGCACAACGAGCTGGAGAAACACAGGTAAGGTGTCATCTGAGGCTGTTTGGCATCTCTGTAGTTTGTGTGATTTACGTACACGTCTTCGCCGAGCACCCTCAAGGGATGCTGGCTGCAGGTAAACATCAAGATATTTTCCTCTCAGTCAAAGCACCAGATTGGATCAGAGGTCATCTTCAAAGAGATTGAATCAATTAATTCCTCGTGTCTGAAAATGGATAATAAGCTGATTTCAAAGAGCAGCTTCACGTCGATTAGATCTGTCTCCATTTCACGGATGAAACTCGTTACCTTGTATGGAAAGGGAATCCTGTCAGTAATGTGATAATCCTGCGCAGGCTGACGATGTGAACAGAGGCGGGGTGAATCTGGCCCTCGCCTGTCATTTCTCTAAACTGAGAAGCCCACAGAAAGCACACACACACACACACACACACACACACACACACACACACACACACACACACTTTACTACCCCCAGCATGCATCTCACTCCACCTTTTTCTTTTCCTCCCTTCGGGGTACAGTGCTCGGCTTGTGGTGATGTGATATCCTCGCTCATTAAAGGCATGGACGTCTGTTTTTGCTCTGTTTTGACTTCACCAAGAGGGGAAGTGACTTCACAGAGATCCAAAGGGGTTTCTTGTCAGGAAGCAAAACTCCTCTTTGATACAGCAAAGCCTGCTTTAGGGAAGAATGGTTGGTGGGAGACGCAAAACTTTGTGTGTGTGTGCGTGTGTGTGCTTTTTGCATCAAGGTCATCCCAAGCTGATTCTTTAAAAAAAAATAAAAATAAAAGCCTGCCAGGGAGGATTTAGAAAAACAGCTGATGTGACTATCAGCATGTGAGCAGAGGCTGAGATGGGTGTGTTGGGCTGCATGTGCGTGACACACTGTCACCCACGCTGAGGGATCGGGGTTTGCCAGTCACATGTCTGGGAGTGAGTAATGGATGTGTGTAGCACAGAGAGAAACAAGTGCAGACATATTCCTCCCCGACCTGCGAGACAGAGAGGGCCCCAGCTGATCACACTGCAGGTGTTGAGACACAGAAGTTACCTCATGTCCGATGACGGGTGTGGTTGGTGATGTGACGTCCAGTCAAACTGACAAATACAAGTGCCAGTAAAGTATTCCATAATCAGTTTACTCACTTCCCTTGTCGTCACCACGGCCACAAGTTTCTAAAAAAGACGCTTTTTTTTAACACCCAGTGCAGCGTGACTGTAATAGTAAAACTTCTTCGCTGATGTTTTGGCCCTGATACAAGGACGTAAATAAATGAAATCATATTTAAAGTCACACTGCAGTTCTTTGATGTCAAGTGCTGCATTAGTTCATATTTAAAAGTACTTTCCTGCTGTTATTCATCTGCCAGTCCGTGACTGTGTGCACACGGGGGAAAATTCCACTACTTGTTTGTAATGACAGGCCCTGCAGTGACGAGGTATTATTGTGATCCTTCGCAACATAATGCATCCTGATTCAATCCCTGTCTGGACCTGCGGCCTCAAATTACATGGTCATTACTCCAGCATGCAGGTGTTAAGGTTTGTGACTGTAAGCTTGCACAATCATCTACAGTGCGCGTGTGTGTAGCGCATTATACCTGCTGTAGCGCTTTAAAGTATTAGTTGGTTCGTGAATGTTTTGACGCTGGTAAAAGTGATATCAGATTAGGTATTTTCTTAGATTTTGGATATTGTAATTTGGTAAGTGTTGTCTTTTCCTGGTTTTGAAAGCTGCATTACAGTAAAGTGATGTAATTTCCTGAACTTATCAGACTGTTGTAGCCGTTCTATTGCATTAATTGTGATCATTTATTGAAAATCCCATTGTGTAAACATTTTGTAAAAGCACCAGAAGTCAACCTAACAATATCATTGCAATATTGATATCCAAAACATTGTGATATTAGATTCTCTCCATATTGCCGAGCCCAGTTTAATTCTTTATTTTCTATTTAACCAGGAAGTCCCATTGAGATTGAAAATCTCTTTCACAAGAGACACCTGACCAAGGCAGCAGCCGATCAAAACACATTTAAAATGCAACAAATACAGCATATAATGCAAAAATCCGCAATAAAACAACAACTATTCATTCCTTATAATGCCCTTAAATTCACCAATAGATATAAGTGTTTCTAATTTAGATCTTTTTGAAGATCTGAAGATGTCTAAGGGCCTGCAAGCGAGTTTTCAAATCTATGTAGACACGTGGAAGGCACGCTCAAAATCAATAGAGAGATAAACAAGGTTCGACATTTGGAATGCAGCAACACATGCACTGCATGTCATGTGACAAGGGACAACAAATTACAGCCAGTTTATATCTTCCCTTTCTTTCATTAATATCAGTTTTATGGAGTATTTGGAGAAGAAGTTGATCATTTTAGCGCACGGCTACTCAGAGCTTTACATCTGCCAGATGGAAAATATTTAGGCCTACGTATTAAAAAAACGTGTGGAAGACAATCAGCTCCGAATTCAGCATTTCTGGTGAGAAGGCTATGATACAGTGCTGGTTATTGTTGCTTGGCAACTCAAGGCGCGACCTACCTCTGCAGTACGCACAAGAGTAGCAATGACCGAGCTTGCGTTTTGCAGGCGATAAAAGAAGTGGCATGTCTCCTGGCCCTAAGTCATTTCAAGCATAGATGCCAAACATTTTGGTTTTGGGCTATCAACCCGACAAATAAGCCCTTTGAAGACATCACCTTGTGCTCTCAGAATGTACGCTTGGCCTTTTAAACATGTCTTTACTTTTAGAAACCCATGGATTAATTGATATCTGTAAAAAAAATCAAGAGAGCAGCTGACAGCCAAAATGTTATCACTTCCAATCCCACTGGTATGCTACTGAAACGCCTGGAGCCAACACTCTCAGTGTCCTCGGTTGATCTCTGCCTGTCTGTCATTTTACTTTCTGATTCATAAGAACACCAAAAGTTTGTGGCTGTCCCGTTCAACCAGTTTAATGAGTGTGCCACCAGAGATTCAGACCTGTTTAATCTTCAGCAATCCCAGTATCGCTTCCATCGACCTCCCTCACGCCCTCAGACGCCACTCCAGGGAGGTGCTGCTGTTTGAGCCCTGACTCACTGTCTTTGTTTGGTCATGTGTCGGTGTGTTTGGTTCACGCTGGTGCAGCACAGAGCCGTCCTTGTACTGTATGTTCACGTGGCTGGCAAAGTGACCGATAAATGTCTGTTTTAGACACCGCAGGCATTGAGTATATTGTAAATAGCACCAATGATGCGCTTGGGTCCTCGAATATTGAGGTTATTTGAAGTTTAACACCCAGCCCCACTTTCAAATCATCAGTCAGTTTAAAGCCAGCGTCTAATGTGCCTACATTTTTCCATTTCCTGTGGACAACAGGCTCACTGGCTGCTTCTGGGTGATCTTATGCATGCTAGGTGTCTCTCACCAACCTGACCACTGCCTTGGCGGCCACTCAAGAGGCACCCTGCATATATTTGTGTCCGGCTATTAGAGTGAGACGTCTGGTCAGGTGCCAGCAGCGTCCCACAGGGTCGCCTGTCCTGACACAACCTGCTTATCTGCTGCAGCCTGTGACAGCTCTGTATAGACCGTCTTGAGGGGTGACTCTGCTGCTTTTTTCTCTCTCTCTCCATCTCTCACTCTTGTCATTGCACTGGCACAGGCCAAAGCTGCAGAGCATCAGCTTGACATTTCCGTGAAACCAAACGCTACTGTGTGGTCGGTCTCCGCTGGCATTGCTTCCTTCCCATTTCTGACTTAAGCCGCTCTTGATCACGCCTGTGACGACTTGTCAGCGCACCAAGTTTCCTTTTCTAGAAACGCCAAGAAATTGCGAAACTACAGACGTTTCGTTTTCCCATGTATCACCTGTTTACAGGAAATCCAGCCATGTAAGGCCGGTATGTCTGATATGTTTGCGCTGCTTCCCTCAATTGAAAAAGGATTTACATCTCTATTTTTATCTTTCCACACACAGACAAAGGCACCGCCCCGTGGCTGTCAGGTGGTGTCGGTTTCAATTCTGAGATCACTCAGATTGATGCTCAGAAGTTTACAGATTGATTTCAACTAACAGTATTCTCTTACAATATATATCATACCTCGGATAATGTACGACAACTGTGTGCCACCTATTGAACTGAACTCTAAATTTACACGCACTTCATGGACACAGGAGCCGGCACTCAGTTTGTCACGGTCTAATCTTCCCTCTAATTAAATTTACTCTCCCAGTGTCTTCTACTCCCAGATGTGATGAATGACTTATTTGGCTTTTAGGACCTCTCTCTCCTCGAGTGAAGCTTCTGTGTGTGTGTGTGCGTGCGTGTGTGTCTATAGGCCGGCCAGCACCTCACTGAGCTGTTTGAGTTATGGCAGTGTGTCAGTAGGAGGAAGAGCCATCCCATAGCCCTGTTACTTCACCTCCTCGCCTTCTACTCTTTGTCTCCTCCTTTCTCCAGAGTGCACATCTGTTTTTTTAATATTTTTTTTGTGCTATCTTTTTCTCCTTATTCCAGCCCCCCCCCCCCCCCCCCCCCCCCCCCCCCCCCCCCCCCAAAAAAAAAAGGGTCTGAGTCAGCAGAAACCTGAGGCAGTACGGAGGAGAAAGGCTGAGCTCCCTTCTCACAGAGGGCCTTTATCACTCTTTACTGGTCCTCCTGCCAAAACTCATCTGTGCCCGTTTTTCCTCTTTTGAGGCATAAATCTTCTTTTGTGACAGTGAGTTTATGTGGAAGACGGCAGGCTTTGATGGGCCTGTTAATCCTGTTAATCAGCATTTTAATGTGGATTGTAAACTGCACAGCCATTGTGAATACAGCTGGAGTTAAGGTCATATTATGTCCACATCCTGCCGTTAAAACGACATCCATTTTTTTTAAAGAGTTAAAAAGACAGCTACATAAACAAAGTGGGACGCTCCTTCATTCCTTACAGTTTGGGGTTTTGGTGTGGCGTTCACATGCTCACATGATTGCACGTGGCTTTTTTACTTAACTTCCTCAAATGTCACACTGT